TTGTATTTTTAGTAGAGACGGGGTTTCACTATCTTGGCCAGCCTGGTCTCAAACTCCTGGCCTTTGTGATCCACCTGCCTTGGCCTCCCAAAGGGCTGAAATTAAAAGTGTGCGCCCCCGTGCCCAGCCAACAAAATTGTTCTTATTCAACTTTACTAAGTCTATCATTTTTCCTTTTTCTTCTTCTTTTTTATTTTTTAGACGGAGTCTTGCTCTGTTGCCCAGTTTGGAGTATAATGGCGCAGTCTAGGCTCACTGTAACCTCTGCCTCCCAGGTTCAAGCGATTCTCTTGCCTCAGCCTCCTGAGTAGCTGGGACTACAGGTGCGTGCCACCATGCTCGGCTAATTTTTGTATTTTTAGTAGAGACGGGGTTTCACCATGTTGGCCCGGCTGGTCTCAAACCCCTGACCTCGTGATCTGCCCACCTCAGCCTCCCAAAGTGCTGGGATTACAGGCGTGAGCCACCGCGCCCGGCCATTCCTCCTTTTTCTATACAACTGAAGGCTAAGCATCTCTTAGATCAACCTAGAATGCAGCTGCTAGTTACTGATTTGCAACAATATTTTTCAGTTATAAACTACAAAATAAATCAGTGTGCATACCAGAAACCACGGCAGTGAAAAGGCAGAAAGAAGACATCCCAGCGGTCCTCTGCAAGAGAGAGGGGTTGAGCAAAATGACCCACCAGCACGAGGGCTGAGCCAAGAGGTGCACGTGGCGGCCGCAACCACAGACACACACAGGAAGTGTCTTCTTTTTGCTTTTGAGATGGAGTTTCACTCTTGTTTCCCAGGCTGGAGTGCAATGGCACGATCTCAGCTCACCACAACCTCCACCTCCCATTCAATCGATTCTTCTGCCTCCGCCTCCCGAGAAGCTGGGATTACAGGCATGTGCCCCTATATCCGGCTAATTTTTATATTTTTAATGAGACAGGGTTTCTCCATGCTGGTCAGGCTAGTCTGGAACTCCCAAACTCAGGTGATTTGCCCGCCTCGGCCTCCCAAAGTGCTGAGATTACAGGCGTGAGCCACCGCGCCCGGCCAGGAAACGTCTTCTAAACAGCCTACCTGTCTTTTCCTTGATCTCACAGAGCACGCTGAAGAGAGCAGGCTTCATCCGATGGCAATTCAGAGCATGCTTTCTGAAAGGGAGGTGACAGAGGAGGGTGTGAGAGAAGAACAGTATCATCTTGTCCCCAAGAGTAAAGATCTTCCATACTAATAAATAAAACCAAACCAGGTCTACCACTCGGACTATAGATAAGCCGCCTTATGAAAATGCAGTACAATCACATTTCGTGTGAATTTGATTTGCACAAAGTCAATATAAAGCCCATGCGTGGTGGCTCATGCCTGTAATCCCAGCACTTTGGGAGGCTGAGGTGGGTGGATCACTTAAGTTCAGGAGTTTGAGACCAGCCTGGCCAACATGGTAAAACCCTGTCTCTATTAAAATACAAAATTTAGGCTGGGCATGGTGGCTCATACCTGTAATCCCAGTACTTTAGGAGGCCGAGGCAGGTGAATCATCTGAGATCAGGAGTTCAAGACCAGCCTGGCCAATATGGTGAAACCCCATCTCTACTAAAAATACAAAAATTAGGCATGGTGGTATGCACCTGTAATCCCAGCTACTCAGGAGGCTGAGGCATGAGACTTGCTTGAACTTGGGAGGCAGAGGTTGCAGTGAGCCAAGATCACACCACTGTAGTCCAGCCTGAGTGACAGAGTGAGACTCTGTCTCAAAAAAGAAAAATTAGCCAGGCATGGTGACATATGTCTGTAATCCCAGCTACTCAGGTGGCTGAGGCAGGAGAATTGCTTAATCCCAGGAGGCAGAGGTTGCAGTGAGTCAAGATTGTGCCACTGCACTCCACCCTGGGCAACACAGTGAACCTCTGTCTCAAAAAAAAAAAAAATTAATGTAATATTAATAATTGAATATGTAAATATTCAAAACATTTCCCATTATATGTAAAAGTTTAAACAATGCAAATAACTCATCAAAAACTATGGCAAGGCATTAGTGGCTCATGTCTGTAATCCCAACATTTTGGGGTGCCAAGGCAGGAGGATCACTTGAACCCAGAAGTTTAAGATTGGCCTGGGCAATATGGTGAGACCCACTCTCTTCAAAAATTTAAAAATTGGGAGCCAGGGTGGCTCAAGCCAATTGTCCTGGTGCAGGAGGAGACATGGTCAGGTGTTCGAGGCCAGCCTGGGCAACACATAAAAAGCCTTTCATCTGGATGGGCACAGTGGCTCATGCCTATAATCCCAGCACTTTGGGAGGCTGAGGCAGGCGATCACCTGAGGTTGAGAGTTCTAGACCAGCCTGACCATCATGGAGAAACCCGTAAAAAAATACAAAATTAGCTGGAAGTGGTGGCGGATGCCTGTAATCCCAGCTACTCAGGAGGCTAAGACAGGAGAATCGCTTGAACCTGGGAGGCAGAGGTTGCAATGAGCTGAGATCGTTCCATTGCACTCTAGCCGGGACAACAACAGCAAAACTCTGTCTCAAAAAAAAAAAAAAAAAAAAGCAAAAAAAAAGCCTCTCATCCATTAAAAAAAATTTTTAAATTAGCTGGGTGTACTCTTGTAGTCCCAATCCCTTGGGAGGCTAAGACAGGAGGATGGCTTGAGTCCATGAGTTAGAGGCTGTAGTGAGCTATGAACACGCCACTGTACTCTAGCCAGCACAAGAGAGACCTTGTCATTTTTTTTAAAAAGGCCGGAGGCGATGTGTCACACCTGTAATCCCAGCACTTTGGGAAGTCAAGGTGGGTGAATCACCTGAGGTGAGGAGTTCCAGGCCAGCCTGGCCAACATGCTGAAACCCTGTCTCTACTAAAAATATAAAAATTAGGCATGGTGGTACACACCTGTAATCCCAGCTACTCAGGAGGCTGAGGCAGGAGAATAGCTTTAACCCGGGAGGCAGAGGTTGCAGTGAGCTGAGATCATGCCACTGAACTCCAGCCTGGGCGACAGAGCGAGACTCCATCTCAAGGAAGAAAAAAAAGGCTGGGCGCGGTGGCTCAAGCCTGTAATCCCAGCACTTTGGGAGGCTGAGGTGGGTGGATCACCTGAAGTCAGGAGTTTGAGACCAGCCCGGCCAACATGGCGAAACACCGTCTGTACTAAAAATACAAAAATTAGCCAGGCATGGTGGCGTGTGCCTGTAATCCCAGCTAGTGGGGGGCTGAGGCAGGAGGATCATCTTAACCTGGGAGGTGGAGGCTGCAGTGATCGGAGATCATGCCACTGCACTCCAGCCTGGGCAACAGGCTCAGTCGCAAAACAAAACAAAACAAAACAAACAAACAAAAAAACCCATAGCTGGGCATGGTGACGCATGCCTCTAGTCCCAGCTGCTTAGGAGGCTGAGGTAGAATTGCTTGAACCTGGGAGGCAGAGGTTGCAGTTCTGTATTTTTTTAGTAGAGATGGGGTTTCTCTATGTTGGCCAGGATGGTCTCGATTTCTTGACCTCGTGATTTGCCAGACTCGGCCTCGCAAAGTGCTGGGATTACAGGCGTGAGCCACCGCGCCCGGCCTAAATTTGTGTTTTTTAAGTCATGAAGCCTCTGGTCATTTTTTACAGTAGCAATAGAGAATGAATACAGGAAGCATTGAAGGACTTTGCAGAATGGCTGTCACATGGCCTGAATTGAAATTTTTAGCATTGATTTATTGAGATGTAGTTAAATACCATAAAATCCGCCCTTCTAAGATGTAAAGTTCAGTGGCTGTGGTACATTCCCAATGTGCAACCATCACCACTAATTCCAGAACACTGATTTCATCACCCCCAAAAGAAACTCTGTACCCAGGAGGGATCACTCCACATTGTCCCCTCCCTCCACCTGCAACAACCACTCATCTTTCTGTGTGTATAGATTTCTCCCTTCTGGACATTTCACACAAATAGAATCATGCAATATATGACTTCTTGGGTCGGGCTTCTTTCACATAGCATGTTTTCTTTTCTTTCTTTCTTTCTTGTTTTTTTTTTTT